GCTAACTTGAGCACGTCTTCGCTCGCGTTTGCCCTCTCCTTGGCCGCCAATCTGAGCTAGTCAGAACTCCGCGCCTTTTCCACTTTGGCGTCCGCTTTTGCACTTTCCATCGCCGCTCTCGCCGCCTCTAACTCGGCTCTGCTCTTCTCACTTTCAACTTCCGTTTTAAAAAGGCCAATTTGTTCAATAGCGTCATGCTGACGGCGGCCTATCTCGGCTATCCTTTCGACCGTCTGCAAAACAGGGAATTAGAACAAAAACATAGGCAGAAAACTACATACAAGATCTAGTCATATACCAGAAGGGCCGACTGATCGGCTAATGCTATCGCCAGCAAGTCTGACTCCGCCCCGAAAAACTGCCTTGTCAACCAGTAGGGAGATCGAGGAAGCCACGCTCAACGCCACGACTGGTCTTTTAAAGCCGAGGAATTAGAGGAAATCGGCACATTTTTTATCCTTGGTTGAACAACAAAAGGCTCAGCCAAATCCGACTCCTCTAAGCGCGGCCATTTGTCGATAGGGTTTTCTTCAAAGCCGGCTTCGCTCTCGGCGGCACACTTCTCCCCCCTCTGATCAGCCTCTGGGCTCAGCCGTTCGACTACCAGTTCAGTCTCGGCCGTCTCAACCTGTGCCGTTTCTTCTATGACACCAGGCTCGGAGGATTGAGCCGTGGCAGGTTTGGAACGGATGGTCTCGACTCTACGCTGGGCAGCCATCTGTTCGGCATTTTTCCTTCATGCCAATTGCGTAAGCAATTCCCCCGCCATATTCTCAGTATAGGAGCCGAGGAGATCTCCTAAATCAGTAAGATATCTTCGAAGGCGATTTCCTCCCGACCTGAAGTGGAGGGAGGATCGGATTGATTAAGGCCGGATGCTTCAAACGCCGAGTGAAGAGCCTCGTCGACTTCGGCTTCCAAATCAGATTGGCTCGGTTGTTCGACGATATCCTCGGCTACTAGCTCTGCGGCCTGCTCCAAATCGGAGGTTTTGAAACCGATTTGCCTAAAGCTTTTGAAGCGGGGGAAGATAAGAGCCGTGAGATGGTTGTTCGCCACGTGGAATCGAAATGTTTTCCGCAGCCGAAAATGTTATGTAAGTCGGCTCATACCTCAGAAGTATATGGGCGGCTCTCCCTTGCTTCTGGATATTTGGACGACCAAAAAACTGGAGTGCGGTTTTGATGTCCACAAGAACTGCGTCGTCGGCCGAAACCAGAACTTTTTTCAAATTGTTGCCTGCACGAATATAAAATTATTAGTACTTCGAGAGAAGGCCGAGTAAATATAAAATAGATAAGCGTAAGGAGCTACAAAGCAACCTGGCTCGCCTTTCCGTCTAGGTATAGGGTCTAGGCGATCCTCGCCTTCGCAAAATTCCCAGTTACCGTGGACGACCATGACATGGTCGACTCGATTGCCAAAGCTGGCAAGCATAGTTACCAACTGATGGTCAGTGTCCTTGGCCCTGAGAAAATAACGCCCTAGCCGGCCAGATGATTTGGCCAAAACATAACAGTGCCGAATGGCAGGTATGCCAAGGTTGATCCTAAGACGCCGGTTCAACTCTATAATCCCCATTACGATGCGGAAAAAGTTTACGTTGGGTTGCGAAGGAATTAGACCCCAATGGCGAAGGACAACCCTAAGAAATGGGTGAAGCGAAAAACGGACTCCGCCCTCAGCAATAAATAGGAGAGGAAAGATGATTGTACTTTCATCATCCCTCTTCATATCAAGAGTGCTGTCTGTTACGAGTGACAGATAGACATCATCGGGGATGGAAAAATGGCATCGGAACCCAGAAATACGGTCCGCAGAAAGTAGGTCTTTCAAATGTTTGGCCATACTAGCAAGTTTAAGGAAAGTGCTACAATAAAAATAAGCAAGGAAATGGGATTCGAAAAAAAGGGGAAGAGAACTTCCAAGGAGCAAAGGAGACAACGACATACGGAAAGAAGTTGCAGAGGATGCGAAATGGAGGATGTATATCGACTGGCAGTCCAGGAGCTTCGAGTATTCAAAAAACATGCATTCGAAGAGACAATGAAGTTTCAAATCACAATAAATTAGGGAAATGTACAAGGGGGCGGGAAAGTGTAATAATGACCGAAAAGCGTGTGCATTCTGACATTTACGTTAGAATGAGAGTAGCCGCCGAATCTATATTTTTGACCTTTCAAGTCCGAAACCAAACACACCAACTAAGTTGTTGTTAGTGGGATGTTTGGGGGCAATTGTGGGAGCCGAGTTTCGAGGACTGCAGAGGGGGCCGTGTACATACTTGGAAGCTTATTGAATGAACATCCCTATTCGACCCCACCTTGCATCTTTCGGAAGACGAACGCCCTAATCGGCCCCTGAACCAGTTAAGCGGGGAGCTGAGCGAGAATTGATTTATAATAGAAAAAATCGAGTGAGCATTCACAAGGTGGATTAAAAGTGGGCCAGACCCCGAGGCCCAGGGGGCAAGTATAAATACAGGAAGAACAGCCACAAAAGAGGTATGTGAGAACTAGTACGCTTAACTTAAGATACAAGCAATCGAGAGAGTATATACTGACTTATCCGTCGGAGTGCTAATCCCGGCACTCCGGACCGGAGTGTTCATTCTTTTTCAGGTTACTAGCTGAGGATCTCGAGTGCCCCGTTGGATCCAAAGAGTATTTCCAGAACCACTCCCCCACACCGACAACAACATATGCTCAAGTATTCATGAATAATTGACATGAGCCCTCAGGTGTTCTCTACTAAATACAAATGATCTTTCCATATCAGGCAACTTAAAATCACACAAAATGATAGTGTGCAATATAGCTGAAAAGCATAATTTGTTGTTTCCAAGACTACTAATAAGTAAAAACTAACTGGCACCCAAATTTCTATAAAAGCAGTGTAAGTTTAGCAATTTAAGCACAGCAATACGGGACAGTTTTGATTTGCTTTAGTGAATCCAGATTGCTTTGCCAATAGACTCAACTTATTTTCGAATCAAGAAAGATTATTAGGAAATCTCACCATTTTTCCTCACAAGGTACCTATTGAAAAGCATGATAATAAAATTTGAATGGAGATAAGTTCATGAAACTTAGAACAAAGATATATATTCAACTAAACTTACAAAGGTGCATGCAACAAAGTAGCAAGTTAAAATTGACATTTTCTCATCTGTTCTGAGCCAACAAGAAATCCTAATATTATGTTCGATGACACACCAAATATGCACTAAATACGCACTTCTTAGTGCAAAAGCACCTAAAGCATCCTACCTTAGTTAAGAATTCACAACATCTTTAATAGAATTTACGAAGTAATCTAAAGCAACCCATCTTCGCACAACTTGAGATCTATGACAATGTAAACCTTCAATTACTTGTACTATTTACTTTCAATATTACATTTGAGTGCACAACTCCCAGCAAGTGCATCAATTAGCTTGAGCATCTAAAGCAACCTATTTAGTCAATAATTCACAAGATCTTTAACAGAATTTAGAGTCATCTTAAGCAATCTATCTTGGTGCAATTCAACATCCTTGACAATGTAAATCTTCAATTACTTGTACTATTTGCTTCAATGTCACATCTGACTACACAACTAGTGAATTCAACTAGCTTGCTTCAAAACTACATTTTCCCCTGACTGAATGCCAAAGAAGTTTCTAATCATATAAATTATCCGTTCTTCTTTCTGCCTATATGACTAAAGCTTGTATTAGTGAAGTGACAAAAACCCAAGTGCATAGAAGCTCATTGTCAATGTTCTTTTTTCACCAAATACACCAAAGCACCCAAAAAGAAAGCACCATGCGACCGTTCCACATTAATTTGTACCCAAAAAACTTCAAGAATTTGGGTTGAGATCCATTTACATGAGTGGGTTTGAAATGAAGGGGTTTAAGTTCAGACTTTATAAAATTGTAAGAAAGTTAACTATTGGAGGTATATTTATAATTTTAAAGTGAATGATTGAGTAGAGATAGAAAACATGTATTTTCTTAAAATACTCGTACAAGTAAATTACTCATGGATTTTAAATAAATATACTTACTAAATTATTTCAAACACATGAATCTAAACAAACTCCATTTTTGGAATCTAGATGACTAGATACAAAATATTTTATTGAATTACAGATTATGCTCCTTGATTGAGTAATGTTAAATCCATTCATTTGAAATTCATAAATCCAAATGTGAGACTAATTGGGTTCTTCGCCATAAAGACAAGAAAATGAAGCTAAAAGTGCAACGTGTTCTCTCTCTGTTGGTAGCTCATCCGTGACCTATACTGATCAGTCACTTAACTAATTTCATGGACTCAAAACAAGGGGTAGAGTTCAATAAGAAGAGGCAAGGATTCTCTTTGGCTAAACACACTCCCATAAGTAGCTCTGCATTGCTTGTTGCTTGTCCCTAAGGGGATTCAACCCTCTAAAGAAAGTCGAACTCTCCATATGGAAGCTTCTAATAGACCTAGAGCGGGGATACACCTAAGAACCCACACGGCAAATCAAAGCTAGTGAGGAAGCCCTCACTGCTGGAGGGGTGTCTCCTCTTAGGAATACCAATACCTTAAATTAAGGTCATGGTGGTACAAAATAAGCCCTAAATACAATAGTTTTTCACTTGTAAAAAGCTTTACCCCTGTTAAGTATGGTTGTAAGTAGCCTTTAGGATTCATAGACATAATCATAGAATCAGTATCAGTCATAGGAGAGACTGGGATATCAATCAACACAAATGAAAGGCACAAAGCCTTCATCACTGAAATAATCCTAATAATATCACAAAAGTATATACAGGTAGAGAAACACTTGAATACATAACTTGCCAAAGCAATTTTATAGGAATTATTACGTAAAAAAAAGTGATGTGACTAACATGGAGAACCATTAACACATACCCATAAAACTTCCAGTGAACAAAATCACAACATAGTTCAAATAAACATAATAATAATTTCCATAACTTAAATATATTGTTCCAAATCTCAATTTACCTCTCTGAGGTGAGGCATCACTCAGAGGACCCGGCCTTGGATTCCGAATTTGTGTCCCCACTCTTCACTGCCTCACCGGAGCAACACCCACCAACATGATGGTGATGGTGATGAGGGTGAGGGTGGTGAGGGTGGTGCTGGTGGTGGTGCTGCTTACCTTTGAGTAGCTTCCTCATATCGTATGCGTCCTCGCCATCAGCATAGTACTTGGCCTCCACATCATGAATCTTGTAACCCAGCGTCTCCGTGTACAGATTAAATGCCGCTCGATTGCTCTTCCTCACATGCAAGGACACATACTCGGCGCCATACACCTGTTCCATGGCGTTCTGAGCCGCCGTCATGAGCTTGGTGGCGAGACCCAGTTTGCGGTGGGTACGGAGCACAGCGAGGGAGGTGATGTGGCCGTGGCACTCCGAGCTCTCCTCCTCCATCTTGGCCAGCACGTAGCCAACGATCTTGCCGCCGTAGTCCTCCGCTACGTAGAGGAGCTGTGGCCACGACAGGATGTGGTACAGGTAGTACTTCATCTGGTAGTTTTCCGGCAGGCAAAACAGGTTGCAGGCTTGCATTGCTAGGAGGTCGTCAACGGTAGCCTTGCGTATACACACCATGCTTGATTTCCTGGTTTGCCTTCCTCTAGGGTTTCGTTTCTTCTCTGTTCCTCCTCTCCTATCCTCTTCTGTCGCTTTCTACACAAACAGAGTGGGGTTGTGGACTCGATGAGATGCTTTGGGTTATTGGGCCTTTGATTGCATTTGTCAAATTGTAATTGGGCTTCATTTTGGGCCACAGTTTTCTACGATGGAACCGAAGGGGATTTTATTTGAACGCAAAATATGTTTGATTGCATTTGTCAAATTGTAATTGGGCTTCATTTTGGGCCACAGTTTTCTACGATGGAACCGAAGGGGATTTTATTTGAACGCAAAATATGTTTCTGTGCGCCTAATTTAAATCCATAATTTTAATTTCTATTATATTTACTAATAAGAATAATATATATTAAAATCTAAAATAAATTTTTTTTTTCTCATTTTGTTCTTATTTAAATTTTTGTATCTTCTTCCCTAAAAGATCAAAATTATTTATTCTTCTTTTTCATCCTTCCTCTAAAACTCCAATCCATCCTATCAAAACTCACCATCATCATCATCAAAATTATTGTTTTTTATTATTTTGAAACCCTAAACCCTAAAAGAAAGTTTGAACAAAATCAAATAATAGATGAGAGTAATAATCAAAATATTTTTTTGAATCAACTCGTCAAAAATGAGGTAAGTATTCATATAAAGAAGTTTCGCAATTTTTGTAGAGTACTATCAATTATTTTCTATATCTTTTTTTGACAAAAATTAAAGAGTCTACTAGTTAAATTAACAATAACATATTATTGGAGTTATTCTTATTTTATCACTTAAATAATATATTATTTAAGAACTACTATTTCTTGTTAGTTTCTGATGCTTATGTGCTTATAAATTTGATTTTTTACTTTTCCACGAATATTCTTGTGGATAATTTATAATGTAAAAGTTTTTTTCCCTATATTAAAATATTTTATAACGTTTATGTAAAAGTTTTGTTTTTTCTATATTTATAATGCTTATATGTTTATAAGTTCGGTTTTTGTTTTTTCCCTATATTTGAGAATTATTTTCTATATTAAAAAGTTTTTGAAATAATTTAATTTTTTTAGTTTGTTTATTATTTATTATTTGGGTTTATCTTAAGGGTAATTTGGGAAAAATAATAAGGTGTAATGAGAATAAAATAAAATTTATATAATTAAATAGGGTGTACTTAAAAATTGGAAATACTTAATAATTTTTTAGGTGTAAATAGAATCCCCAAGGGGGGTGGCCGATTGATAAGGTCTTAGCGCTCGATCAATAGTGGCTACTTTATACTTCTAGGCAAACTTCTTAATTATCTATGCACCCCTACCCTTGCCCCTACCCCTACCCCTACCCCTTCCCCTCCCTTTTTTATCACTTAACAATCATTTAGGGATACAAATCTCAAGATCCTAGATTCAACTCTTCCAAAATTAATTATTGGGACGATAACAAATATAGTCGAAAGGATAAATTTTGTAAGTCTGAGCGAACGGTATCTAGTATCAAGAATGTGGGTTTGAATGCATGCCTGTGTGCGAGTTCGCAACTTACTGCTATATGATTAAATGACTGTTGTGTAGCACTATCTAAGGATGACCTTTGAGACCTCGACTTCTTAGGGCCTAACCCCAGAAGTCACCTTTCTGTGATTAGGTCTTTTTAATGTATAAAATGGAGGGGGGGAAAGGCAAATTATATCTTGAGTCTCTATATTTTCGGTCTTGTGTCATTTTAGTTATTGTAATTTTAGTTGACTTAATTTTAATTCTAAATTTATAAATTTATCTCAATTTGATCCAATTGATTACAATTATATATATATATATATATATTATAAAAAATGAGCACATAAGTGACATGTTATGTTTTTATAGATAAAATTGTAAATTTGTTCAATTCAGTGAGTTAATCACAATTAGCTCATTAACAATTTTCCTTCAAAAACCCTAATCAAAGTTATCAATTTGACTAAATTGATACAAAATCTAAAATTAAATGTCAAAATTGAACTAATTAAAAGTGCAGAGACCAAAATGACATAAGAGTCAAAGGCCCTATTTGATGCAAATGACTAATAGTGAAAGTATTAATAATCCATAAAATTAATATAGTATTAGTTATCCAATTAAATTATTGAGATAAATTATTACGTCAATTGTTTGTTTTGCATTGAATAAATAGGGTTAAAACAACATTTATCTTTTTCAATCTTACCTTCCATGATATTTGTCACGACCCAAATCCGCCTCCATAGGTTTAGCGTCGTAACCGGCCAGTAATCCGCGGATTACCAAAGGCTTCATGACATAATAGCATATAACAAGGGGTTGCGGAAGCATCATGCAAAATACGAATAGTCCATTAAGTTGTACTGACATACATGGGGTAGATAGCTTAAAACTTCTTTATAACAAGATACAATATTTACGCACGTACCAAGTATATGCCAACAAACATCTTGACCAAACACAACATAGTATAAACATAGTCTAAAGTGTTTAAAAAAACAGCCGTGAAACTTGACTTCAATCGGAACCTCCTCGGGAGGCACAAGGGTTAGCTGACAAAACTAAAGTGTAGGCCATCAACTCTGGGCCTGATCACGTGCTTGCTCACCTACATACATAATATAAATAGTGAGCTAAAGCCCCCATGAAGGGACCTGATGACCCATAAAGGGACGCATATTATATGATGCTAAGGATGCCGCGAATAATTTTCAGAATCTTGGACAATCATTCATTCATTTCAAATATAGCATAGCATTTCAGAAAACTAATTACTTCGTATCATATTATTTAGAAAAATATTTAATATTGAACATAACTTTACAAAGTTATTACTCACAAATAATTGGTCGCCCCGACTAGATGGCAAAATAGCACTTCACTTATCCTGAGGCGCGTGACCTACACGAACACACATACAAATACACACTTGAAACATACACTCGAATTATACATAACTTACTTCGTTTGTTCTTAGTGTGTTTTTAGCCATTAACCTCATTATGGAGTCTTAATCATGGCCTAGGAATGCCTAAGATGAAATGAGGATGCAAAAATGTACTTGAAACACTTAGCCAAAATTTTGCTAAAACAGGGGTCTCGCTCGAGCGTGGCTTCCTTCGCTCGAGCGTACATGTCAAATGTGATTGGTCACTCGGGCATAGACTCCTTCTCTCAAGCGATCTGCAAAAATGTGAAAAGTACTGGTTGCTAAAAATCTCCGCTCGATGCTCGCTCAAGTGTGAGACACAGGTCCTCGCTCGAGCGCAAGTCTTGTCGCTCGAGCGTGCTTTTACACTTTCAAAATTCTGAGAGCTTGCAATTTCTGCTCAAGCCAGCCTTCTGTCGCTCGAGCGGAAGAATGAAAACAAACATGGTCGCTCGAGCGTAGGATTCCTCGCTCGAGCGTGGAAGCAAAATTCTGGGTTTTCCATATTTGCTTTCAAGCTTCAAAACATGATTCCAAATCTTCAAAACACACCTCTTGAGCCCCAAAACTTGAGACAACAAAGCAAACTTATAAAGCATGAAGAATTGAGGATCATTTCACAAAATTATGGTCCAAGAGTTTGCCAATTGTACAAAATTCAACTTAAACTTTATAAATGTTTGAAGAACACAACATGCATGATTTTTTCTTGAATCCAACCTTTTCAAAACATGATCAAACTTGACAATCTAATGGAAAACATGATGAACTCCCAAAATGTAAGTGAGATGAACACATGCATGATAGAAATCTTTGAACTCATGCTCAATTTGTGAGAAAATGTACATACATGCATAGTATGGCCCAATTCTTTCCACTTCTAGTGCAATTCTTACGTGAATTCACTTAATTCACTAATGATCTTGTAGAATCTAATTCAATTACTCAATTAAGAGTTTAGTCTCTTACCCAGAGGCTTCAATCTACAAAAATTGATGTTGAGTCTCTACAAATTTTCATCAATTAACAACATTTCCTAGCACCACCCTTAGTTTGAGCTCAATTCCTCAAGTCTTGAACCAATTCTCCCTTCTCTCACTCTCTCTAACATTTGGTGTTGAAGATGGAAGATAATAGAGTCAAAATATGTATTAGGTGTGAAACAATCTTGTAAAAGCCCACTCAATAGCACACTTGTAAATAACTTAAGCTAAGCTAATTAACATTAGTTATTCTAATTTAATCATTCCAAATCAACGTTTAATTAAAATTACCATAAAATCTCATAAATCCTACTTAACACATAAATCAAGTCAATTTCTAAATCGGATGCCGATAGGACATTCAATTCATAAACCGAAAGAAAAACATAAGCAGATTTTCCTACGTTGAACAAATATAGACATAATTCATGCAACACACACATGCAATTTAATCCAGAATTTCACCCTAATTACCAATCAAGCATAATTAACCGCGGATTAACGTTAATCAGGGATCGGGGTTGTTACAATATTTCTCCACAACCCTTACTTTATCAATATTTTTTCAAAAACTTTGTTCATGGTAGTGATTTTGAAAAAAAAAAATCCAAATAAATAAAAGAAAAAAAATACAAAATACAAAGGCCAAACAATTGTTTTTCAGTTTTGTTTTTCAAAAAAGAAAAACTAATTTAATAAAAATAAATATCAATAAAATATCTTTAAATTTTAAAAATTATTTTTAACCTCCCAAAAGATAAAATTATATAAAAATGATGAGTTTTAGAAAAAAAATTCTTAAACAAATTTATGAAAACCAAACCAAACATGGCCAAGATACAAAATTTTTAGGGCGAATTACACTAACGATCCCTATAGTTTGGGACTCGTGTCACTTTGATCTTTAACTTTTTAATTGTAACACATTTGATAATAAATTTTGAATCTTGTTCCAAATAAGGACAATTAAAGATACCATTACTTAATTTCAAGAGTAAAGTCGTCAATTTGATAAAATTTAAACTAATTTGACAAAAATAAATGTCAAAAAAATATTTTTCAAAATTTTAAAATAATTTCTACACATCAAAGATAAAATTATGTAAAATTAATAAATTTTTTAGACATTTATTCATTTATTTATTTTACTAAATTATTTTTTATTATGTATTTGGA